GCTTGTTCCCCTAGAGTTGCGCCTGCACCTGCGAGGAAAGCCGCGGGAGCCCAAACCCACGTACCCGCATCCCAAGGCTCGGACCAGACGAGCGGGCGGAGCCCTTCCAAGAGCAACACCCCCTGTGCCGAGCTCAGCGGCAGAGGGGGTGCTCTTCAAAGGAGGATGAGGAGGAGGAGGAGGAGGAGGAGGAGGAGGAGGAGGAGGAGGAGGAGGAGGAGGCGGCGGCGGGGAGGGAGGAGGAGGAGGAGGAGGGAGGGGGAGGAGGGGGGGAGGGAGAAGGAGGGAGGATGGGGGAGAAGGGGGATTGGGGAGGAGGAGGAGGAGGAGGAGGAGGAGGAGGAGGAGGAGGAGGAGGAGGAGGAGGAGGAGGAGGGCCCACCCCAACAGGACGCGCGCGCCTCGGCAGCTCGCACGGTGCCGCACCTCGGGGAAAGAGGGCGCCAGCCGGACGAGAGCGGGAGGGCGGGATCTCACACCACCAGCGCCTGCCCGGAAGGCCACTCTCCGTGGCCCCCCGGGGCTGCCCGCGCCGGGCCCAGGGCTCTGCCCAGCGCGCGCGCAAGCTTCGCGACGTCGGCCTCGGTGTTGAAGACGTGGAAGGAGAAGCGCAGGCCCTCCGCGGGCGAGCCGGCGGGCCACTCGTCGGGGTACTCCGCGCGCCCGGTCGGCTTCGCGAAGATGCCGTACTCGAGGAAGAGGCGGGTCGACAGAGCCTTGCCTGCGACGCCGCGCGGAAGGGCGACGCACAACATCGGCGACGTGTCCTCTGGCGCCAAGCCCCCCAGCACCTGCAGCCCCAGCCCCTGCATCTGGAGCACGGCCATCTGCCTCAGCCGAAGGTTCCAGCCCTCCACGTTGTCCATACCGAACGCGCTCAAATAATCAAAAGCGGCACCCTGACCGGCAATCGTGTGCGCCGGCTGGGTCCCCGATGAAGACAGCTTGATCCCAAACGAAGGTAGGCTCTTATCCTCCTCGCCAAAGAGATAGGTGCTCTTCACGTGAGATTTGAAAGATTTCTTCATGCATAGGACAGCGCTGCCCTTGGGGGCGAGCTGCCATTTGTGCGAGGATGTCGCGTAAGCGTCTGCATCGGTCTGGCGAAAATTTACGTTGATGCCACCAGGACCCTGGGCACCGTCAACGACAAGGTAGGCACCATGAGAGTGCGACAAGTCTGCAATCTGCCTTAGGGGCATTCGGAAACCAGTCGTCGTGAGGACGTGCGGAATAGCCACCACCTTATACTGGACGCCCGCCGCGCCGAGCTTGCCTTGGATCGCACGGACAGCTGCCTCCGCAGTGGCGTTGTACACTGGAATCGCAGCACGGTCGAGCACTATTCCTGTTGCGTTCACGTGGAATTTCCAGCCAGCTAGGCCCCCACAGTGCTCCTGGTCCGTCATGAGAACCCGATCCCCAGACTTGAGATCCGCCACCGTGCCCCCGTGGCACGGAGTCCAGGGTCCCCTGACTACCTACCATACCACCCCACCCTAACCCGAAGACCCAAATTTCGGGTTGGGGGGGTGTACATGTGCAGCATATGTTTTTGTTCAATGCTCCCCGACGACCTCCCAGGTCCCCCCCTCCACTGGGAATGGAGGGCGAATTGGGGCCTTCAGGATGGGCTGGGATGGTTTGGTGGGTGGAGATCCCCATGTCCCTTGCTCAACCCCTGATCGTGTCTTCAATCCTGGGGATTCTTTTTTCGGGGCCCGGGCCCAAAATGCTCAACTCTCGTAGGGCGGCCCGCGTGTCCTCTGAGGCCCGTCGCGTCTTGTCGCACGATCCGCGCGGGCCCCAAAATGGGCCAAGAGGCCCCTAAGAGGCCGCCCAGCTGGTCCGAGGGCTCCCTGGATCGCTACACGATCGGTCCAGGAAGCTCAAGGTGCCTCCGGGATGGCCCAAGAAGCATTCGAGACGCTCCAAGAGAGGCCGCGAGAGATCAAAATCATTGAGTTTCCGACTTGGGGGTCTCGACGTTACGACTTCTCGACTTGATTATGTATTTGTGGTTCTCGACTTTACTTCAGACGCCGCAAGACGACCCAAGAGGCCCCCAAGACAGTCCCCAAACGGCCCAAGTGGCCCCAAAGAGGGCTCCAAGACGGCCTGACAAGCGACCAAAACGTCCAAAGAGAGCCGCGAGGCGGGCCCAAGAGTGGGACCCCGAACCGACAGTTCGAGCCTTCCGTCACGAGATGCCCCAAAAGGCCCCAAGAGGCCCCAAGAGGACCCCAGTAGGCCCACAAGACGCCCCTAAGAGACCCCAGAACGGCCCCCAAGAGGCCTCAAACATGCCTCCACGAGGCCCCCGAGAGACCCCCCGCGGTATTCCAACGAACGCTCTTGAGGCCGATGACCCGCAAGCCAGGCACGTTGGAATGGGCCGAAGGCCATCGATATCCGCTTGCTACCAGCCCATCAGCCACCGTGTTGATAGAAGCGGTGGTGGACTGCATCAGGGTCGTCTCTTCCACGTCACAGCCCAGAAACTCAGCGGCTGTTCGCCGCACCATCTTGCCGCCAATTTCGAAATATGAGTAATCCGCCGATCTGGCGTGTGAGTTTGGGGGGTGCTGGGGTGGCTCTGCCGGGGACGGGGGGCGGGGGGGTGGGGGCTGCCCCCATTTAGGTTTGGAGGGAGGGGGCTGCCGCCATTCAGGTTTGGAGGGGGGGGCACCGGATCGGCGGCACTGGCCGGAGGCCATTCCAATAATACTCATTCGGATTTTTCTCAAACTCCCTCATCGTGTCGTACACTTTATCAATGACCACTCGGGGTGATGGCCCGAGTGTGCCCACGTTATGATAGGAGAAGTTTGTCCTGTGCCCCGGGGGGCCCTCCAGTACGAAGTCCGATATCGGCGCGGGCAGCTTTCGATGTGGCCAAGAAGCGCATCCAGATGGAAGACCAGATATGCTGCACAGGAAAAACGCCGAGAAACTGGCCGTTGCCAACATCCAGCAGGACCACACGCGAACACCAACAGTAGAATGGACCCCTTGGGGCAAAGCTTGCGCCAAGATGCGTACCCGCCTGTGGAGCCCTCTCAAAGGCGCGGGGGGCATCCGCAGGATGAGACCCTGGCGCGGGGGACGTCCGCAGAATGAGACCCTGAAGGAATCCAGAGATACCCCACTTCAGGAATCCTCGAGGATTCTCGGGAATCCCTCGGAATGCTGAGGGATCATGAATAACGAAGAACCCCTGGGACTCCATCAACAAATCCATAAGCATCCCGAGGACACCTCGGGAACACATAGCAATACGTCGGAATCCGACGGCGTGCTTAGAAATCCTTTGGGGTCCTTGGTAATCCCTGAGTGTCCTTGGGGAATCTTAGGGATCCTGAGGATTCCTTGGGAATTGTCAGAAATCCGTCGGACTCGTCAGGAACCCTTCGAAGTCATCAGCACCCTTTGGTAATCCTCCAAGCCCCGCAGGAATCCATAGGAATCCTGAACCCGCCTGAATTCTCAACAAGCCAAAGGAGCCTTTAGGAATCCTACGCAGTCTTTTGCGATCCCCCAGAATGTTTTGGATTCGTTAAACATGCCAGCAATAGATCCTCCAGAATCGCAAAGCACCCTGAGGAATCCCACAGAACCCTTACGAATCCTCGAGAATCTTCAGGGACCCGTAGGGATGCTGAGAGTTACTTGGGGATCATCAGGACTTCTGCGGTGCCAGCAACAACCAACAACCCCAGCAACCCCAAAAGGGGGTGGTGGGGTGGGGGGTGGGGGGGCGAAGCTGGGCTCGTTGGATACTAGGGGGGGGGTGCCGAAACCACCGAAAACATGCACCAGGGGACTGCGCATGTCAATTCGAACCCCTCACTCTGACCGTGCTATGTCTGGACCCCGCTGGTCATTGCGGATGTTCGCAAACCAGCGTTTACAGAAAAATACCCGTACAACAAGACTGGTATAGTAATTATTGGAATGTATGGGCATTCTCAATTGCCAAATATTTTACACAAAAATGCAATGTTTGCTGGTTGATGTCAGCCCGGCCGATCGCTCCTTCACTTTTCTCGGTGTTCCCTCTCCTCCTGCTTCGCCCGCTCCTCTTCGCCTTCTCCCTCTCCCGAACCCCCTTCTGCCTCGCCACCTCTCCCCCTCCCCATCCTCTCCCGCTCCCCTCCCTGCCACCCCATCCCCCGTCCCCCCCTCTTGTCCCTCCCTCTCCCTCCTCGCGCCCCTTCCCCGTCACCGCCGCTCCCCTATGCCAGCTCCGTCCCTCCCCGAAGATGCAGACCGACCACACCGGGCCGTCTCCGAGCACAACGCGGTCGGCAACACCGGCAGCCACATCCAGGCCAGTGCCAACCAGAAGGGGGGAAGAAGGCGAAAAGAGGGGAAGCCTGAGGCGAGGAAGGAGATGGAAAGATGCTGAGACAGGCCAGGCGAACGATGAGGAATAGGCATGCGTAAACTGCTGCATCCAGCTGCGGCGCCGCTCGCATCATCCACTTTTCTTCAGTAGGGGTGAGGGCTGAAGAGCTGATGGGGGGGTCCTGAAACTTCTGGCCCGGAGAGCCAAGCCTCCCATCGTCTTCCAGGCAGCAAGCTGCAAGCAACTCTTGACGGCGCACATCGGAGGCTGCCCCTCGTCTGGTGAAGTGGTGCTGTTTTCTGTGCTGCGCGGTCTTGTGGCAGTTCTCAGCAGCGAAGTTTTCACAGGGACCATGAGCTGACTCTGTGAAAGCTATTGGAAGGGGCCGAGACCAAAAGAGAATAACATTAGTCTGCAGATTCGCAAGCGGAGTTTCGGCGCGCATGAGAAAGACAACACACTCTACAGTAAAACCTGAATGATGCGTTGGCCGACCATGTTCTGACTCGGCTCGGACTCCAGTCCCGCCCTGCCCACAAACTTCCCTCGCAATCCACCATCATGCCCCTCCGATGTTAGCAGCCAGTCTATCCCTCCCCTATCCCCCCTTTCCCTCCCCCATCCACTCTTACAGGGCGCCCACATGGGAAGCAGAGGGGTCCAAGTACACTGGCAGCGGCAGCGACCAAGAGCTGGCGTCGAACACCGCGGTGTCCACGTCCCCGAGATAGTCGACATGGTGGTTCCAGACCTTCACCACATCGAACACCTTCGGTATCCGCGCTGCGTCGCGCCATTCGCACACCCATCGCCGATTCCCTTCTCCTCGCTGTTGCGACCACTTGTGTACCGTCAGCCAAGGTGCTGTCCGACAGGGAGGCAGCATTTTGCTACGCAACGACCCGCTGCAACTGTCCCCGATCCTCGTCTGCATCAGATCGGCATCTCTCCACCTCCCCCTTCGCCATCCACCGTCCCCTCCCCATCCAACCACCACCTTCCACAACAAATACGCAATATGATTGCGGCCGCCTTCCCCCTTCCTCCGGCAACGTCAAGCGGCGCTGCCGCCTCTCCCACGAAAGCATCAGTTGCGTACGAAGGATATGCAGCTTTGATATGCCGAATGGGCCGTGCTCTGTCGGAACGACGTTGGTCATGCCAGATCGGCGTCCCCGCTGAAGCACCTGGCCAACCTCCACGATCGGTGCTCCGCCCCCGCCTTCCAGAAACTGCGCTGTCGCCACCCACCGCCCATCGTCGCTGTCGCCCCCTCCGCTCTCTCCCCCTCCGCCTTGTGGCGGCGAGCGCGGGGGGGACAGCGACACGGGGCGGGCCTCCCCGGAAGGCCCGGGAGGATCCTCCGGCCCTCTGCGAAGCTGTTTCCAGGCCCTCCTCCAGACGGCGCGAGGGCTTCTGAGGAGCCCCGCCGCCTTCCGAGAGGGCGCTCGCCTTCCCACCTCCCCCCCCCCCGCCCGCCGCGGAGCTTCTCCCCGGATCCTCCTGCCCGGCCTGCGCCCGCTCCTGCCGTTCCCTCTCCGCCTCCTCCTCCACCTGCGTCCGCCTCGTCGCGTGCAGAAAACTCCCTCTTTTATGCTGCGCCGCAGACGGCGGGCCGACTTGTTCCGCAACTGCTGTCTGGTCACCAAGGGTCCAGGGTCCACTGAGACACGTCGGCTGATGGACCGGACATGGTTCAACGCAGTGGAACGGGATGGGTGGGAGAAATCGGATGCCAAATGTGGCGCGAGCGGGGGGGTGAAGGGGGGGTCTGGCTCCGGACCTCTGCTTAGTGCGACCGTTTGGAAAAATGCTCCCATCGGGAATCCTACGGGCGTCCATCTGCTTGAAACAGGCGCCCAACACAGCCAAGATCTATCCCAGTTGGGGGAGAGGGGGAAGGGATCCGACCGTTTCTGCTTCGCGACGCTTCCAAACGGCCCGAGAGGCCCCCAAGATTGCCCCAAGACGGCCCAAGACACCTCAGAGCGCCCCCAAACGGCCCAAGAGGGCCCTAAGACTGCCCAAGAGGCGCTTAAGCGGCCCAAGAGCCAAAGACGGCTCCAGGAGTAAACCCACACGGGGACCCAAACGGACATTTCGAGCCCACGGCCCCGAGGGGCCCCCAGGAAGCGACAAGAGGCCCCCAAGAGGCCCCCAAGAGGCCCCAAGAGGCCCCCAAGAAGCCCACAAGAGTCTCACAAGAGACTCCCAAGATGCCTTGAAATGCCCCCACGAGGACCCCGAGAGCGCTCCGAAAAGACCCCAAGAAGCATCCCTGAGAACTCCGACCCACAACTTCGCACGGAGGCGGGATTGGCCGAAGGCCATCACATATACAACATGGGAATAGGTGTATGCATTTAGACACATACACCTCAATACACGTGTATATGCACATGTATCTGTGTATATATATATATATATGCATATACACATACAAACACAATTCTATACAGATGGGTACACGTACAAATACAAGTGGCACGTGTGCCATGGCTCTTGCACAAAAACGAAGGGGGAGGAGGAGGAGGAGGAGGGGGGAAGAGGGGACAAGACATCGCCCCTCGGGGCCCAGCAACGGGGCCCAAATCCCAGGTGGGGAGAGGGGGGGAAGTGGCGTGCGTCGCGACGCGGAATAAAGTACTCGGAGCGGAGAGGGCACGGGGCGGAGGTCCCACTGGGGCGCCGGAGGCGCGGAGAGGGGGGTTGAGGTGGTGTGCGTCGCGACGCGGGATAAAATGGTCGTGGCCGATGGGGCAGTTTGGGCGGGGCTTGGGGCAGAGGGCCACGGGGCGGGGGTCCAACTGGGGCGCTGGGGACGGGGGGGGGAGGTGGTGTGCGTCGCGACGCGGAATAAAATTGTCGGGGCGGAGGGGGCACGGGGCGGAGCCCCCACTGGGGCGCTGGGGACGCAGGGAGGGAGGTGGGGGAGGTGGTGCGCGCCGCGACGCGAAATAAAACGTTCGTGGCGGAGGGGGCAGAGGGCGGGGCTCCCGCTGGGGCGCTGGGGACGCGGGGGGGCTCGGGGCAGAGAGCCACAGCGCGAGGGCCACACTCTGGCGCTGCACGGGGGGAGGGGGGGGTGTGCGACACGGAATAAAGCGTTCGTGGCGGAGGGGGCATTGGGCGGGGCCCCGCTGGAGCGCTGGGGACGAGGGGAGGCTCGGGGCAGAGAGCCACAGCGCGGGGGCCACTCTGGCGCTGGGGACGCGAAACGGGGGGGGGATGTGCGACGAGGGGGCGGTGGGCGGTGCTCCCGCTGGGGCGCTGGGGCGCTGGAGCTCGGGGCAAAGAGCCACGGCACGGGGGTCCCACTCTGGCGCTGGGGACGCGGGGAGAGGGGGGGGGTGCGACGCGGAATAAAGTGGTCGGAGCTCTAGCCACCCTGTGCAAGATAATATATATATATATATAAGCAAGATCAGAGTGAGGGGGCCGAACGGTCACTCATTCTCCCTGGGTGCGTGGCTGAAGTGAGAATATGTGGTGAGGATTCTGCTTGTTGCGCTGTTGTTGTTGCTGTTGATTGTTGTCGTCCCCCCCGCGACCCACCCCGCGACCCACCCGCGACCTAACCAGCGACCCACCCGCGACCCACCCCGCGACCCACCCCGCGACACACCCGCGACCTCACCAGCGACCCACCGCGACCCACCCCGCGACCCACCCGCGACCCACCGGCGACCCACCCCGCGACCCACCCGCGACCCACCCCGCGACCCACCCGCGACCCACCCGCGACCCACTTGCGACTCACCCGCGACCAACCCCGCGAACCACCCGCGACCTACCCACATTGGTTTGAAGAGAAGATCGGCGCATGCGGCGGGCTCGTTGCATAATGAGGGAAACTTTGGCGCCTGCGGCGGGCTTCTCCAGAGTCTCGCAGACTGCCAACGTCCCCACCGCCCCCTCACTCTTATCCGCATCTGCAGGTGGTACGTGAACATCTATATATATATACACATATATATATGTATATGTATACAGATGCACACATACTTGTATATATCGTCAGAGTGAGGGGGGCGAACGGTCGTGCGTGGCTGAATAGGGAATTTGTGGTGAGAACTCTGCTTGTTGCGTTGTTGTTGCTGTTCTCGTTGTTGATGCTGTTGTTTGTTGTCGTCATCCCACCCGCGACCCACCCGCGACCCACCCCGCGACCCACCCCGCGACCCACCCCGCGACCCGCCCGCGACCCACCCCGCGACCCACCCGCGACCCACCCCGCGACCCACCCCGCGACACACCCGCGAACCGCCCGCGATCCACCCCGGGGCCCACCCGCGACCCACCCCGCGACCCAACCGCGACCCATCCGCGACCCACCCGCGACCCACCCCGCGACCCACCCGCGACCCACCCCGCGACCCACCCTCAAGGAAGGAGAAACCACCCGGACCCGACAATTGACGTTTACTAACTGGCCCTGGGCATTTACTAAACAGCCCTGCCCTATTCGATTCATTCCTTGTGTGCGTGCACTAAACGGCTTCGCTTGTCGGGCTGATTATTATGGGGTGGAATGTCTGCCCTCTACACCCGCGACCCACCCGCGACCCAACAGCGACCCACCCGCGACCTACCCACATTGGTTTGCCGAAAAAGTCTTCGCCTGCGGCGGGCTCGTTGCATCATTAGTGAAACTGTGGCGCCTGCGGCGGGCTTCTCCAGAGTCTCGCAGACTGCCGACGTCCCCACCGCCCTCTCACTCTTGTCCGCATCTGCAGGGTGCTCCGTAAATACGTGTATATATAGATGTATATATATATGTACATACAGTTATACATGCAGGCATGCATGCCGTACATACAGACAAAGAGACGGACAGACAGGCATGCAGACACACACACATACACTAATTTCATCAAGTATATACATACATGCAGGCATGCATGCATGCACGCATGCATATACACATACATGCATATATACATACACACATACGTGCATGCAAACATACGCACGTACGTACATGCATACACACATACATACATACGTACATACATATGCACGTCCAGATTTACATACATACATACATACGTACATACATACAAACATACATTCACATACAGACATGCGTACATGCATGCAGGCATGCATACATACATGCATGCACATACGCACATACACGCATACAGACATGCATGCATGCATACATACATACAAGTGTACATGCATCCATACATACACACATCCACACATGCATGCCTGCATGCATGCGTGCGTGTATACGTACATGCGCACACATGCACACGTGCATACGAACATACAGACACACGAATCCACACACATGCACGCGCGCATGCATACAGACAAACACGCATACAATCATATACACATCTGCACATAGCTATAGATTTATACATACATCAACCAGGCATGTATGCATTTATATATATACATATAAGTTTACACACATGCATACACACATACAGACATACATACATACAAACATACATACACACATGCATACACACATGCATCAGTGCATGCATGCATACATTCATATACGCATGAACGCAAATACATACATGCACATACATACGCACACACACATACGTACAAATACACATATCTATACATACATACATGCATTCATGCATACGTACATGCACGTACACCTATGTGCATGCATACATACACCGACGTACATACATACACAAACACTTGCATGCACACGTACATACGGGCATGTATATATATATATATATATATATATATACGTGAAAAGTTTGTCTCTCTACCTCTCGTCTCTCTGTC